AGACCAAAAAAAAAGATAGGAGATGAGAGAAGCTGGGAACCCCGGTGTGGTGTCAGGACTTCACCTGTGGCTTTCTCTGTGACTGTGTCTCTGAAGAGCATCAGGGGTTGGGGAAAAGACGGGGGTGGGGTGGGGTGGGGCAATGAGACTTAGAGCAAATGGGATAAATTCGAAAGGACAGAAGGTGAAGAGCTTTGTCAATCCTTAACCCTCCCCCCCAATTCCTGTGAGCTTCTGCAGAGCAAACCCTGGTGGTGGCCCTTCCTAGCCTTTCGTGTTCTTCAGGCTGTCCCAGGATCCCACATTCAGCCTTCCGGCTCTTTCTATCTCCTCTGAGATCAAAGCTCAGAGTTTTCCAGGGAGTTCCCTGGACTAGGGGCAGGACCAGATGGTAGCAGGCAGGCGGTGCAGATTTGGGAGCGAGTGGAAACTTCAGTGCATGTGGCTGTTGCTAACCCACTGTTCTCCTCACTCCCTGAACCTTCAGCCAAAGTCAGGTCCAGACTCTGCCAGCTCTAGTGGAAGCCCCTAGACTTGGCAGACTCCTAATTTGGAGGAACCCAAATTAGGGATGCCAACTTGGAGGGTCTGGGCTCGCAGGCTCTAGGATATTCCTACCCCCGGCATGGTCCGAGTCTTCTGCTCGATAGCCCGGCATGCTGGAGAGGACCGAGAGCCCAGGTTACCAGCCCCCAGGGCTGCAGATGTGGGCTGCAGATCTGGACCGCCAGACGCCCACCCACCCGCCTGGAAGAGCTCATCTGCGCGCCCAACTCCAGCGGCTGCAAGGGTGCTCGACTCCTCACCCTGGGGAGGGTTCTGACTCCTCACCTGGGGAGGGTTCTGGCCGCTGTGAGCCTGGATCCCTGCACTTTTGTTCGCTTTCCCCGAGCACAAATTAAAAAACCCGCCGCCTCTACCTCTTGGGTAAGCCCAAGACCCATCAAGAGGGAAACAGTGACGCGGTTTTCCTTTTTTGTGGAGCCTCCCATACGCACTGACCTGCACTACCCCCAGCTCCTGCCCCCTGACCGACGCGCGCCGCCTCGCCCGGGACCCGGTGCGTTGGCGCTGGCCGCGGGGAGCAGCCACGTCCCCGGAGCTGGCAGCCTGGGGCGCTGCTCCGGGCTCACTCACCGATCCTGAGTACTTGCGGGGCGCTCTGGGGGAGGACGTAGCAGAGGAAGTAGAGGAGTGTCCAGCCGGCGTCCCTGGTCCAGAGCCCGGGCTGAGCCAGGAGTGTGCCGCGCTCCATCTTCCCAGCTTCTTAATTCATGCCGAGACACAGCCGCCGCCGCACGCCCGCGAGTCGTACCCCACTTGGGCCAGGTCCCCGCCTCATGCTCCCTGGATGCTCTGGGTCCGCACTCTCACGCTGTCCCCCAGAGCGAGATCGAGGAAACCCGCGTGGGAACGCGGAGCTGGCGGGCAAGGCTGAGCTCGCTCGGGGCTCCTCGCGGCTGTCGCTAGCCCATCACCGCTCCTCCTCCTCCATGGGCCGCAGACCGCGGAGGATCGGCGCGCCCCTGCTCCCGGAGCCCGGAGCCCAGCGGAGGAAAGTTGGTGCCCTAATTTGCAGGATCGTCTCCCTCATTCGTCCTCTGCAAAAGTAGGGGGCAGGTGGAGGATGCAGACGAGGAGGGGAAGGGAGGACGGAAGGCGAACGGAGAGGGTACTGGGTGAGTTGGTGCAGGGCTGCGATGGGCTCCAGCAGGTTAACTGGGATCCGAGCCACGCTCTTGCCTCCCTCAATCCTGGTCTTCCTCCTCCGCTCGCTGGCCCCACCCTTTATTTACTGCGCGCCCCAACCCCACTGATCACACAAACACACACACGCACACACACGCGCGCGCGTCCACACACTCACACACGCACACACAGTCACGCTCCTTCTCCCTCAACTTTGCGCTCTGCAGCTGGAAAGTCGACTGAGCGTTGCATCCTCAAGGCAGATCAAATCTAAACTATTGGTCGGAGCAGAGGCAGCCTCTGCTATCTGCTGTGAGTGGCAGAGAGACCTTGGCGATGGTTCTGTTAGGGGGTCTTACAGACATCCAACTATGGCTGGTCCCATCATTTGATGGAAAATGGCCTTTCTGAACGCCAGTATTTCAGAGACGATCAACGCTCCTGTTTTAACTCTGTCAAGGATGAAGAAGAGGAGGAGGGGAGGAAAGATAAATCTTCAGTGCTCTGAGACTATGTAGTGGCTTCTTACCGGTCCAGACTCTGGATAATTTCTTGTAAATTGCTGCTATTTACACGTGCAGAACTGGGAAAGGCAGCCTCGGGAGCCGCCGGGTTTCTGATTTCTTTTGACGGTCACGTTTGAACACTAGACGATAGGCTATTTTAACAATGTAGGTTAGACTGTTGCAAGACTATTTCTCTATAGAAGGACAAGGACACCTCTCTGGGGAAATCAGTATTTGATCATGTTGGCTTAATTTCCTTCGAGCTTTGTAGGGAATGTTCTATATAAATGTTTGCTAGTTCTGTCTTAACATCGCATAGAGTTTTTTTTTTTTTTCTGTATGGATTTTGGAACACTAATCAAAACTGAGTCAATCCATATAAAAAAACAAGCCTACAGATATGTTGGCCTAGAATGGGAAATAATTAAAAGAGAAATCTACTATATCTTAAAAAACATTCATTCATCCTTTCAGCAAATACCCACTAAGTCTCTTATACCTGGTTCCAAACACTATACTTTCCACTGAAGGCCCAAGGGAGGTTCAGATCCCACTACTGGAAGCTAGTCAGTTAGCACATTAAGTAACATGCCTTATTCTGGACACTTACAGATGACAATTGACAAAAATAGAACATATCTGTAGATAAGAAGAGGGACTGATCTGGATTTAGGAACTGGGAAGATAGAGGAAACCAAGAAGAATTAGGGGCATACACCAGTTATCTTAAGGAATTTGAAGAGCTCTCACATCAAAAGAAAAGTAGTACTACTCTGTCAGTTAAATGAGAAGAAACAAGGAAATTAAGAATGGTGGATGGTAATTGCGGAAGAGTGAATTTCATCTCATTTGGGGGAGCATTTCTAAAACCAGACAGTTTCAAACAATGGCATGACCTACTTCAGAAGAGTCAAACTCTCCATTCATTCATTTGTTTGTTTATTTCACGCATATTTATTGGGAAACTACCATGTGTGAGGCATTGTGCCAACCCCCGGAGAAACAGCAGGGATACGGTTACTGTCATCCTGAAACTCAGGAGCATTAACTAAGTATGACTATGGACAAAAGCAAAGGAGTGATCTAACCTCATTTTGGAGTTTGGGAAAGCCTTGTTGAAGAAGTGCATGCTTCAAAACTTAAAGAATGGGTAGTTTATAAAGTGATTGGTAAGTATTTCTTAAGCAAGAACAAATGCAAAAATTCTTAGAAGGTTTATTTTTAAATTGAAAGATTTATGTTAAGCATATTTCATCATCAGTTTTTTTCCTGATACATCCAGGGCCAATCTAAATTAGTTCGTAGCTAGAATTTGAGAACTCCAGGTCTAGAATTAAGTCAACTTTTAAACAAGCTATGTTTATATTTTGGCTTTACCAATTTCTAGGTTTTTAGTCTTGGTTAAATTGCTGTATTGCTCTGTTGTGGACTGCTGGTGCTTACTCGTGTCCCAGTCTCTCCTTCTCTACAGTTGCTCCTCTATGAAAGCCTGTACCTCACATTTCAGTGGAATCATGTGACTCCTTTTTTTCTGCCAATGAAATGCCTGTGGAAATGGCCCACTTCCAAGTGAAAAGGAAGACAATGGATTCTGCATGGTCCCGAAGGACTCTTTCCCTGGCACAGTAACTCTGAAAGTTCAAGAGGCTGAGATGAAAGCAGCCGGGATCTTTAAGTTAACTTTTGCAAGGCAGTTGATCTGCATGGTTGTCAGACTAGCAATACACTGGTGACAAATCATTCACAACTCAATTTTATGTTTTAATCCACAAAAATTTTGAGGCACAGTGGCTCACGCCTGTAATCTCAGCAATGACCAAGGTGGGTAGATTGCTTGACCCCAGGAGTTTGAAATCAGCCCGGAAAAGAGTGATACCATCATCTCTACTAAAAATAGCTGGGCGGTGGGTGTTATGGCAGGCACCTATAGTCTCAGTGACTCAGGAGGCTGAGGTAGCAGGATTTCTTCAGCCCAAGAATTTGTGATTGCTGTGAGCTATGATACCATGGCACTCTACCCAAGATGACAGAGTGAAACTCTGTCCCCCCAAATGATGATAATAATAATAAATAAAATTTTGAGATGTTTGTTATTGCAGCATAACATACTCTCTGCTAACTGATAAACTCTCTCTGACTTGTTATCTTCATCTAAGATAAATGAGGAAAACAATAGCACTATAGGGCCACTGGAGGATTAGGAGCTACTGCATGCTAAGTATTTCCCAAGACCCTTGTTACTCAGTGTATATCAGTTCATTTGTGGTAATTATTTTTCTGGTTAAAATCCATATATTCATTTCTGGTTTTAATATTACCCACATTGTAGAGATTAAAATATTTTGTTTAGTGGGAAAGGACTCAACAATAGTGGTACAATTAATAGCATAGTAATTGTACTTAGCATAGCACAGTAAGTACTTGGTGCAATTGGTCCAACACAGCTTAAGGAAATTTTGCTACTTTTGACATGTATTACCTTAGGACTGTGAATAAACTGTTCATTTTGGTAGTTCCAAATATTAAAGAGTTTGCATTTCTTAAAGCATGTTTCTTAAAGAGTAAATGGCACGCTTAAGTTACTTTTCTGTAACATCTATAAAATTCTGTAAAGCTTAAAATGGAAATTTATTTCCTTGTTAAAATGCTTCCCTCCACTGCTCATGTATACAGGCTCACGGTGTTGGGTTACTCAGGAGTGATCTGTAGCTGCTGTTGATTTGTTCTGTGCCTTCTAGAAGGACTGCATTTTGTGCATATATGCATCCAGTTATATTTTTTGGCCCCAAAGGACTCTGGGAATCACTCTTGATTCACAATTTTTCATTGCGTCCTCTTAAGAATAGAAGTATTCAATTGAATGCATGTGTCTTTTCCCCCATTCCCTAAATCTTAAGCTGAGGTTGATACCCAGTGGTTGATAACGCTGAAGTACAACAGTGTGCGGCACTGTGCTTTCTGTGAGAGCTGCTGGCATTCCTTAGATGCTAATCCATTTACAATTACTTAATTTTTAAAAGATAACAACCTGCAAAGAAAAATCGCTTAGAGGAAGCGAAGGAATACAAATGTTATTCTCTGTTTTCAAAATGTGGTGAGTATACTTGAGTGTACTTAGAATGTTACCCAGGGCACCAGAATCAAAAGATCAAGTGGCTTTTACAGGCTACTGTGAAAGTGTAGCCCACTTAGGATCAAAATTCTGAGTTCTTGGCCACTTCGTTATACTCTTTTTGCTTTGTGGGGCCATATGGTTCTATGACATTAAATACCACCTTTATTATTTTTTTCTAGTGCAACACATTTTTAAAAGGTTGTCAAATATGCAGTTATTAGAATTACCTAAATGTTACTTATAAAAACCAGTATATCACATTTAGATGATTCTATAAAATAAAAATACAAATCACACACTGACAAGAACCCCTGAAGTCCATGCATAGCCCCTTCAATAGTACAAATTACAAATACATTAAAAAAATTAAAGACATTATTTAGACATTTAACTCAACATAACTGTGACTAAACCAAATACATTCATTTAAGTACAATAAATTTAGCATTGCTGCTTATAATCACTGATATACAATGAAATCAATATATGCTTTCAAGAAGTTTTTAAAAATTTAAAATTATGTCATTGCTGGAGTTACATTTTCTCCTGGTGTTCACTTACAGCGCATACTAACAGTTTATGAAGTGAAATAGTCTTAAGTACCATGTAGGCTGCACCTGCCTATAAATGAAAATGGTGGGCACGGAGGTACTTTACCTGGAAACTGTGCTGGAAGGCTCGGGAAAACATGTGAAACTGCACCGAAAATTGTGTCATTAAAGACTGCCTTTAAAGAGAAGATCCCCAAATTTTGTCTTTTGCTCAGATCTTGCCTCTGAACTCTAGATGCAAGCAGCCGACTCTAATACCACTTCTAACTGATTCAGCCTCTCAAACTCTTGATTCTGGACCTCCCAGGTTACTGTCCCTACACCAAGCCCTCTCTCAGACTTTCTCATTTCCGTCTGAGCACCACTTTCCACCCAGCTATGAAAACCGGAAACT